TATTTCTGCGCTAAGATTTACTGCGAAAACTAACTTACGTGCAAGTGGTCGCGGCCTAGTTTTAGATCTAAAAGGCAAAGTAATTTCAGCACAGACCAGACGCTCAAGCTGCTGTTTTTATTTATTCCTGATCGTGATCTGTTTCAAAAAATGGCGGCATCACGTAATTTTGTGGCTACGAAAGGTTTTTTTAATTTAATTTATTAAATGCCAGTTTACAGGCATGGTACGTGATTTATTCACCGCGATCGGCCGACCGAAATGCCGTCAGAATGAGGGGTTTATGCTGAGCACACCTATAAGCTACCTTGATCAGCATTGACCGCTGCCCACACCGAGAAATGTTCTGACAGTGTTAAGTCCTGTTCGAGAGTGGGAGGTATTATGTCGGCTGTTTTCGGACGGGATCCCCAAGGCCCTTTTAATAAAATTATTTAGTTATTGTTCCTATGGGTTATAGATTACTCTGGTCCTAAAACAAACATCTTCGCGGCAAGTCCCTATATTTCTTATCACTATGAACCTGGAGGGTTTGAGTCCGTCACGGCATACCAGAAGTTGTGGCACCTGACTCTATAATTCGATTCTCCTTTAGAACGTGGGTCACACTGCATGTTCTCCTCTTATTGTGACCTTCGCCGTACCTCTTACTTATGCGATCTCAAGGCTTGCGCGTGACATGCGGTAGACGTCAGCTTAATACAGCGAGGAGGACAGTCGTGGATTCCAACAGAGTAGGTGGCGTCGAGTTTTAAGCGCACATGGACCTTCACCCCTTTGACATTCTGGTAGACTGGAGTTCATTAAGCCTAGATGTTCATTACTATTAGTTATTCTTTTATCTAAATCAACCTTAAACCGAAGACTTGGCTTCCGATAATTATGGTAATAAATGTCGACCGATTAAGAGCTCTCGTCATGCAGTACGTTGCAAAGCGTCTCTTCGGATGCTTTGCAATAATTTGAAAATGTTCAGCAAAAACACGTGACTGGGTAACGTAAGTTCTGGGGAATTAAATAAGATACGATCCTAAAGCGCCGATCTTAAAATCCATATAGTCCTGTACATGTTTCTTGGATACTTAGGCACGGTCGTCATTTTACGAATTATGTTTATTTCGGCTTATATGTTCCTGCTGGACAAGTAAGCTGGACAAGAAGGTGGACTTTTTTTCGTGTACAGTGGACTCCATTCGATATTCCTGTTACTGATTATGGGGAAGGCGTCATTCGTTGTCAAGGGCAAATCAGGATGAACTCGTTATATTTGATCTCTAACTTACTGTAGGGGAAGGTAATGGAAATTGCACAAAAGTTTTGCTTCCAGGCAACTGATCTGAATGTTAACTTGTAACTCATTATAACTGAGATCTCGAGACCATATTTGTCGTGTGTCGCCTTCAACAATTCATCATTAATTTCGAATTTCATAAATTAGGTGCCGCTGGAGTGGTGTTTGCGGGTTGCTGAATTTGTCTATGTTTGCTTGAATGCAATTGCGAATTCACGTGGAAGAAATGTTCCGGATTCTCTATGCAAACTCATCCTGAGATATTATCGCTCTCTACATGGCATAGCTTATTGTATGAATGTCTCTGCGTCGGTTTCACAGCCAAACGAGGAAGGCCACCAAGTTGTCGCGCTATCTGAAAATTGTTTATCGGATAAGAAGCTCCATGCTTCCTAACCTTAATCAGGCGCTACGCCAATTTCCTCCATTCGCAGAATATACAACGATTCTTAAGATTGGCGAGGTCACTTCCAATTTTTGGCTTGGGCCTACAGAACTACGAACTTCCAAAGCTCCTTCTACATCTTACACGAGTCTGACAATGAGAAGGCCACCAGACGTTTTCAAAAAATACTTGGAACAAAGCACCCTTCATGCGATCCCAGTATCGATATTTTCAATCTCTATGCGGTTACTTTGGCTGTCCGCGTCATCGATGTCCAAGGTATAATTACATAACCGACAACCACATATTACAGAAACACTTTATTGCTTACACTCCTCCAATTATTATTATTATTATGACTTTTCACAATTCACTGGTAAGGGTTACTGGTGAAGTAAAGAGAGGTAAAAATTTTGCTCTCGTGTTTTTTTATTTGAGCAGCACCTTACGTTGTTGTTTGTGTCAGAACAACCCATACGAATGATAGATAACCTGGAGCCAAAGGCTACTATCCTCATATGACTCCTCTCTAACCCGTCTAAAGTCATGAATATCGTACACGTCATCTCCTTGCTTAATCAAATCGATAGGGCTTTTTATACTGCAATATTTCAGTATTTTTTAGTGCACTCAGGTCGGAATATTCTCGTATAATGTCGATTTTTCACCAATAATGCCCTTTTATCCTTCCTTGGAACTTTCAGCATCAGGTTATTTCTCAACCGAGTTCTATGTTTTGGAAGTATTCTGGAGATTTTCTTCCGCTAAAGCAATTGAAGTACTCTCGTTTTTGATTACAAATATCTGGTGTTTGATACTCGATGATCCGTTAGCTCCTCATATCAAAGCTGGTTTATAGATTTTTGCCGAACACTCACCGCGAGACATTGGTTTAAGTTCGCACAGCTTCAATTATGAGATCACAAATATACTCGGTACCGCTCTACTGTCCTACATATTACAAGCTACGTCCAAAACGTAAATAATAAACAAAGCTGTGTTTTACTGAGTTGCAAATGAGATGGGCAAATGGAATTGACCTCACCGTCCAAAATAGATGTTTTGCCTCCCCTTGTTTTCGTATTCTTTTAGCTCCTTCCTCAGTAATGTGTCATTGCTTCTACACTTAGCTTCTTCTGTTAGTTTTCCGGCTGTCCACAGTTGGCCAGTTTGTTAATATGCGAGGGGTGCGCTAGCGTGCGTGCGTCACGCTTATTTGTCAATCGCGCAGAGAGAATCATAAGCAGGTTATGACTATCAGACACTCATATAACTAGTAACCTACGGAAGACCGAAGGCTTTATTGAACTGACGTCTGTCAATACAACGCCACTATGGTTGAGGTGTTGCCGCGTTGCTGTGACGCCAATCAACAAACTTCCGCTACGCCCCAAACTCGAAACCGTAAAGCTCTTAAGCGTCCACAAAAACGCACTATTTTGCGATACGTTAGTCTCCGTAAGACAAAATGAATGAACCAAATATGTTCCTTTTTAAAAATTTATTGAAAACACAAAACACCCCTCAGCCGGGATTTTCGCTGGAATAATTATTCCCAGGTAGTCCCATGAGGGAAGGTCGAGAAACGGGAAAATTGAAACGCTTCAAGCCCTTACACTTGTAACGCCAGCACCTTATGCTGGTAGGAGAGTGTACTCTTTTCAAATGGGCTCCAATTTAAATAGGCAGTTCTTACATCTGTCGAATGACGCATAAACGAAAAGGATATCCGTCTTCCATTTCCAATGCATTCCTACGTAATTAAGCCACGTTTTTTTACTGTAGGGACTGATAATGGAGTATGCGTTTTTCACAGGTTCCGCTTTGCAACCACCTTTTAATTATCAGCAGTCTCATAGTTTTCTATATTATTCTCTTAACCCTTAGGTAGAGGGCCGTTGGCGTTAGCGGAAGGAGAACGGCTTGGAGCCTTGAATGCAGCCGACTGCAAGTACAGCCGGACGGTCAAATATTGTAGTTTCTTAATCATAAGTACCATATTTTCTTGTCCCTTATGAAAAAGCGTAACTATGGAGCAGTTTTAGTCATCTCGACCAAAAACTAATTAGATTTATCAAGCGCGTCATAATGGAGGTCCAAGAGATCATGTGGAAAACTACTAATGTTGGACATAAACACTACTCCCATTCCAGCCGATCACACTTCTTCTTTACTCCTAGGATCCCTAATTGTTTTTGTTTGTAATTATAATGAACACGACTTCGGTCCAACTTTTATTCTTTCCAGTGTCTTTGTTCTTTACGGCTACATCGTCTTGCCTTATCTACTTCATGTCTTTTAACAACCCCACATTTTATTTTCCATCCTCCGTGCTGTTCCAATCCTAACCAAACATGTGCGAAACCGCCATCTCTGAAGATATTCTGCGTCGCAAATGAGTCAACCTCATTTTGACCACACATGCTTGAGCTTAAAGATTCGTTAATTACATCCGAGGCCTTTGCTTGTCAAACAACCCTTTGTTGTCACTGGACTCCTGTTACTATAGACCTATAGCTCATCGGACTGCCGGGTGTCTTATTCCTCCTTTCAAGGCGTTTATATCCTAGTGATTATCTCCAGGGTATGCTTCCCAGCCGTTTATAGGTTATGTAGAAAGCTGAGGAATCAACTACGGCATTCGCTTCATATGCACCATCCTTGGTAGCACCAGTACTAACTGTCAAGCGTAATGGGTCATACAACTTATGCATATGCTACCGACTGCCTGTTGGCAGTTTATGAATATAACGCTGTTATCCCGCTGTGGCAGGTGGACTTTGGCCCAAAAATTCGTACCAACTTTCGGTCTGAGCCTAGAAATCCTAATTCGGACTGATTTACTCTGTGCTAGAAATTTCTTTTTGAGGAAATTAGAAACCGCAATTTTCGCGTCTTCGTCTTTTCACCCATTGTACGGTTCGCTTAACGGTTATATGGAGAAGCGAAACCTGTTGGGACTAGTTCGAGTTAGGATTACCATTGCCACTTTCCACACTCTAAATACCTGTGCATTTTTGACATTTATGTCCTACCTGGATTCGCTGCCTCTTTTCTTCCTTACTACTAAAATCAAGTCGAGCGATTTGCCACAGTATTTGCGTATGTGTTTTACAAAATAATGGCTGTCTCCTGTGCTCTCCAAGCATTTTTTCTCATTTATTTGGACCGTTTTAAGTTTTGTTCGCCCACCGCGCCTCAGACTTTGTACCCTCGTATATATTCCATCTTGATTATTTTGCCCCATATCCTCCGTGTTTACCAATGGGTTAATCTTTAGTGTCGGAGGCTGTGAACCAAATTGAACGCGCCGACTCCCTCATTATGTTGGAGGCCGTTTTCAGGAAAATTAACCCAGTCCTACTGCTCAGGAGCAAGACTTCAGTTCAACCTGCGCGTTTGCTGTCTGCTAGTTCTGATGTGGTAAAGTGGTCATTTCAACTCGCTGCATTTTCTACAGCCCACCGAATTAGCTGACCCATACGAGCCCCCAAAGAAGAAGTGTTTCCTCTGCAAAAACAATGTTGATTTAGATTACAAGGCAGGTGTTTTCTTTATTTGTCCTCAGTTCACTGTTTTCAGAATGTACGACTGTTGTCTCAATTCGTTTCCCCCTATACCGGTCGCATTTATGGACGCCATATTACCGGTCTCTGTATACCTATGCAAAAACGTATCGCCCAGTTGATCAAGCGCTCGCGCAAATTCGGTAAGTTGGTTGCTTTGTTTACACTACAGGCTTTATGGCTACGGAGTTCAAAGAGATGGTCTTCTTCGAGGATCCAGATTTGACTCGGAAACGGAACTAGTTTTTATAGAAGATAGGCACTTTGACCACTACTTTCGGGCTGTACTTTGCTACGAATACATTTACTGTTTTCCCAGAAACGCAGACTTTTTCAACGGGGTTCTCGGGTGCTTTAGGTATTTGCTAGAGCTTACAGCGTGGCGTTTTTCTGTTTCGTCGACCTACTAAGTCAAGCAGTTGCTGAAAAATAGAACATGGATTTTTATCGCCCTCCTCTAGCTACGTCCTCGCATGTTGTGCTTGTTGTCCGGATTTCGTCCTAGCCGCGCCCTTGACGCAGAATTGGTATCATACAGACATCAAAAAGAAAGGTGAACCTAAGATGTTCGGGGATTTCAAAACATTGTCATCTAATTTTCCTGGTCTGAGGCCTGTCTTCACCAGCGACGTTAAAGTTCTGATGTTTACGTTTTTACAGTGGTGACAGACTTTGGTTCGAGCTCTGTTAACTCTCCCTCCTATGGGCTCCAAATCCTACAAAATCCCCAATCATTTAAGGCCGTACTCCCAAAGCGACGGGACGTACTATTCCTCTTCAACATTTGGCACTTTTTAGATGTGCTTGTACCGTTCGTCCATACGTTACGGAATCATTTTACGAGTCAGTGACGAGGTGCGTATTCTGTCCCGCCTGTCCTGTGTTGCCGTCAGAGGGCCATTACCTCACCGATGCTCACGCCACTTGGCTTCTCGCTCAGAAGCATCCAGGCGGTTTTGACACATTTCCGTAAGGAAACAGCTTTTAGAATTGAGTGGCGTCGAGCTGCGACGGTCTAAAATTCGAGATTTCCCAGGTCAAAAGTCAGGGAGACAGGGTTGGTTTGATAAGCCTTGCGGTAGTAAGAGGACGTAGACGCAGCCCAGCTGACACTGACAGCCAGTGTTATTGCCAGCCGTATCAGCCATTTAAGTCGGCAATCCCGGCCTGCGTCTGAGATTTATGGGACTGCGGCCAATCGATGAAGACGAGACATTCATCCGCACTACGACGTCGACGAGCCGAAGGCCAAGTCACACACAAGCGCAAGGCAGCCTGCATACTCGGCTGCGCAACGGTAAGAGCTGGGCGCCAGTCTCAAGTGCATGTGGTCAGTGGGAGTTGCAAACGTGGCAGGGCTCCAATGACCCTCAGGATAACGTGATTTTTGATTTGTAACAACGGGAAAGTGCATTGCTCCTTGTCTAGACGACGTGTACGACCGTCTTCTGCTAGAGTTTTTCATTGGACATAAGCGATTGCAAATAGGGATGGCCGAGAGTAGGCATGTGCTCCTTGTCAAGCGGGGTACACTTCCGTAGCGGACATTTTAACGGCCTTGTAGTTCTGCTCCCCACTGGTGACCGAGCCGTCTCAACAGCTCCCTGTATTGTCTTACACACGTTGATCTCTTTTAGCAGTGGTGAGACCTTTAGAAATGGCGTGATGGCGCTATCTTTCCAGGTGCACCGAAGGTGTCCGATTGGGGGTGTACAATGGCCCCTTTCCGCATTCTAAAAGTGTAATTTCTTTGACTATGGCCCAGAATACAAAGATTTTTGCCCTTCGTTCGATCTCAGGTGGAATAAGCTTATCAAATGTGAGCCTATATGACACTGAGTACGTTACTCTGGACGAGGTCGATACCTGTCTGCGAAATCAGCCCTAAGCGCAACTCCAGAACCGGTACTGGAGACTTTATCCCTTTGTTGCAAGCTAATCTCTAGATCATTTTCTTTATCCAAGTACAGTTTATCAAGAGCATAGCCTTGATGCGTAAGAAAAAAAGAAACTGCCTTTCACATGCCGTCTTCTTTTTAGTCGTTCAGTTGCTGACGGTCCATTCATTCATATGTATTGGCGATGTTTAGCATGCTCTATCACAGAAACTGATTTGTCTGAATGACTACTGGCCGCTTGTCCCTATGCCACCGCCCGAAGCCGCGGCGTTAAACAGAGATTCCACTTCTGTCCCGCAGTCAGAAAAGCTCCGTAGTAAGTCGTCTTGCCCCAGCAAAAGTCGACGTGAATTTAACGGAAGCCTTGGAAAGATAAAATTGCACTATAACCTGCTTAATGCCGTCTAGCAGGCCGTCTAGTAGACCCTTCATGGAATCTAGACAACCAGTCGAATAAGTTATCCGCGTCCTGATGTCCATAAGTCCAACCAGAAATACTAAGATCATGGTGGGTGGACAGTGCCGCTGTAACTCAGAAATGTCCAACTTGAAAAACTGAAGGATCCAGACCGTCCAGTCAAACCCGAGAAGCCCCGGCAGAAAACAGCTGTTCATGAACGGAGTTGGCGCCCGGTCAGGGACTGTTTACTGACATCATAACAGACTCGCGCATTTAACGTTCCATTAAGTTCTGCCGAATTTATTTGAGTAGCAATTTATGTTCCGTGTCGTTTATTGGGCAGTCGTTTGAACACCTGCCTGTCAGCGTACAATTTTGTCCCGAGCGGGATCCATCAGTTCATTTATCACAAGACGCGCGACATACATAAAACCTGAGACTTGACTGTGCTAGTTGATTTATTTAAACTTCGGGTCGAACAGTCTTAGGAAACCTGATGAATCGATCGCCGGGCCATTGTTTTATCTGCAGAACCTATTTCATATTTCCACACTACAGTCTGATGACTTTCAGGTGACAGTCCGGAAATTGATGAGTCTTACTACCTTTATAGACTTCCGACTAGTGATATTCCAGCCGGATCTTATTTCTTAGCCGCACCTGCAGTCGACAAGCCCCAGCCGTCTTTCATACAGGACCGGTGGTAATAGGCGGCTTAACACTAACCCTTCAACTTACCCCCAACCCCTAACAGGTGCGGCTACGAAATAAGATCTCACAAATATTCCTTTTAAGTCAACGCTAAGTTAGACCATAACTCTCCTGTATTGTCATTACATTTAGAGGTCTCAGACACTTGCGTGACCGCCACTCCGCGACCGCGTTAATGCCCCTGGTGCTTTCTACAAAATTGCCAGGACGTTACCTCATGGGTTACAACTTAACGGTGAACCCTGGCTGATAGGCGGATAAATAAGAGCCTCGACAGTCAGCATAAATGTACTTGAGAATTCTCGAAGCGCCGGAACGTCGCACAGTCTCTAAGTTTGAATGATAGCATCATCTGTCATTTCCAACACTTGCGTTGTTGTTGTTTTGGCATTTGTTGCAAGAGCCGGCTACCCTTTTTATAGACGAATACAGGTCTAATTGAAATTACGACCTCGCCACATCCATCAGAAGGCTTAGCGTCCAATATCGAGCTATTTGCTTTATGACTACTCGAGTTTCTGAATCCTAGCTATTTATCCCCGATAAGTTCATAGTCTACCAGTCGGAGTTAAGGGACTTTATCACCATAAGCCCATAAGAATCAGTAGCTTACAGACTGGCTGTACGTAGCGTTACCCAGGGACTTCTTCAAGTGCCGTCCTCATACGCCTTTGGGCTACCAGTTTTGTTCTGTCATCGTCATCCGTTGCTCGGGCTAATCTCATCAGCCGACCACAGACGTCTAATCGAGACCGTCGTGGTATGCGGCCACACGCCTGCCCCCCGCCTTCATACTCCCACACCTTCCTGCGCGGACATCGTGTTCATCTGTCCTTACATCTTTTTGTCCCGTGTGTGCACGATACCATTCTTCTTTGGACGTCAATTTCCTACCAAAAGGTCCGTGGTGGCCGCGGTTTTGGTCTGCCCATGTCTTTAGTTGCGGCATGGTTACTCGTCCTTCGATTATTTCCATCTCATCATCCCGCAGTCACATTTTGCACCTAAAACACGAACAAAGGGACCAAATCATGGTGTGAACTGGAGCAGCTGAGCTCCAAAGCGAAGCAAGTCTCGGTTACAGTTAGTGTGAGCCGACTGGATTTATCGGACACCTTATGGTTTGGTCGTTGTCTCGAGAGGTTGGTTGCGTCATGGAAGTTTGGGGGGAGGGATAATGGACATAATCCGTAGTATTTAGAAGTGGATTGCCAACTAAAACAAGGGACGCTGACTTATTAGCCGTTATCAGCAGCCATACCCAAGCCCGGGGTGTGTAACCCCTCGAGGCTCGAATCCGACAAGTTAACGAGCCCGTGGCTCAGTGGTTAGGGGGCGTTGGACTTCTAACCAATAGGTCGCAGGTTCGATCTCCGGGGGCTGCGCACCTCGGTGCCGGGTATGGCTGGCTAACGACTTCCAATAAGCCAAAAATGGTCATTCCAGTCTCCCGTGTCTTGGTTGAAAATATATACTATTCACTATGAGACGGTTGGCGGGGCTCTATATCAAGCCCCGAAAACACAACGGGGCGATCGAGTCCCGCAAATGATCGGTGAACGTCCAACTACTAATAATCCGTATTGTAAACATCCATAAAGGGCGGATGCTGGACCGTATGTCTAAAATTTCGGCCGCACGTGGACTGGTTAGCAGATTTGAGCAAAGTTGACTTCTGCACAATTGCTCCGATTGCTTCTGTTACTGAATTTCATCTGACACCTTGAATCGTTTTACTCAGTCGAGATGTTTGCAACATACTGCTAACAACAATGGAGACCCCCCTGTAGTCATTAAGATGTGTCACGTGAGAATTGCGTTTACGTCTGTATTCTGCCTCCAGGATTTGAATGAACATCTGCAGTGTTTTGTGTTGGGACTGAGGGCTTATCACGCTGGCAGTCGCATAGTGACCCGGGGTTGCCGGGCAAAGTAAATGCCCATTTACGTCTGCCAGTCAGGAGAGATCGGTTAACGCTGCGTGCATGTGGTAAAATCTTCCCGATGTGGACGGGCGGAAATCAAGCCTGGTAGCCTAGGTGTCAAAATCGGTTGACTTGACATTACGAATGGAATATAATTTTATGCCTACATTGTTTCTACTTATATCCGTTTGGTAGTGTGAATTGCTGCACTCTAACTTTTTATGCGATTGCCATCTAGGTGCGTCTGACTTGATAGGGGAATCCTTATGCTTCACTCCAGCCGACATCAGTGCTTAATGAGCTGCTGGATCAACCTTCATGCCTCGATCATACCGGTGCAGAAATGTGCAATGATTTACCGTACTACCAACGCAGGTATTAGCTAAAAGCCCAGACACGCGTGTTTCGCCGATCTTATGCCGCTGCCACCACCGGTGCAGTTTGGTGACTACACATAAGTCAGAAAAGACCATTCCAGTATACCTTGCCTTTGTCGGTATTACTTCTCGAATCTACCAGGTAGTCATCATCCCACGTTGTCGGCTCCAGTCTGGAGCTGCGAGACACACGGGAGGAGTCGACGCCCATCGATCCACGCAGACGAAGGACGGGGTGTGGGGAGTTCAGTTTCTGCGTTCTTGCAACAGGCAAGGGCATGTGTGGCAGTCTACTCGGAGTGGCCACAGCGACTGAATTCCCTCGCAAGTTGGCTGTTTGTGCCGCGTGCTACTCTGCCTTTCCGTCCACCGGAAACGTGACACCCATAGATTTTTTGTCTTCAGCGGGTGGCCGCGGCCGAACAGAGCTCGGGCCCATGCACCTTGAGCCAGGGCACTGCCGCCATCGCCACCGCCGCTTGCTGCATCAAAGTTGTCCAAGTAATCCTTTCTTTCCTGGCACTTCATCTGGGATACCTCTCGTTGTCGATCCTGCGTACTTCAGCAAGCACTCTCAGGCCGTCGGATATCGGTGGGCAGTCGACGATCAACAGGTCTTCGGAACGTGCAAAAAATCGGTCGGAGAAAAATGGCCAGGACAGGAATTGTATTGCTTGGTCTATATGATCCCTTAGTGTTAACCCCCGTACACCACTTTTGAATTAAAGCAATAATTGATAAGTGAAGAAGAAGAATCGAGCAGCGGAACACTTTGTTGATTGTCCCGAGTTTCCAGACTCGTACAGGAGTCCATCGTCAGAGGTAGTAACAACAACAGAGCAAGCGACAGTTATAGGGCATGTAAGCCAATCATCGACCGACGGCGCAAGACTGGAGGTGACTACGCAGGGATCCGTACCTCGGCGCCAGATCGATAAATCGATTGACCGAGTTCTCATCCGAGGCCCAGGCTTCGGTCCCGGTGCTCGACTCTGCTTCTTCACTTATGCATACACCTGGAACTCGAAATTTCGTCTTCATTCGTCAGCAAGAATTGAGTTTTGGAACCATAAGTAGCCATTCACCGCCCGGCAAATCTTGCAACCCGCGATGCAACCTTTCAAATGGAATTTATCTTTTCTTGAACCATTTCGCATTCCCCAAAAGCAGATGATATTCAGCAATAAGGTCCGATTTAATGAATAAAACGTCCCGATAGGAGTTCGATGAGCATGCGTTTGCGCCTTCAATGAAATAACAGAGAGAGGCTGTCCTTAACTCAACCTGCATCCTTGGGCTGTGCGGTGTCTGTCTAGACGCTCACATCCGAAATGTTTATCGTCGTGGTTCAATCGGGGAGGTGCTCGTAGTTGGTGCGATAATGACTTGACAACATCTCAGCACCAGCACTACCACCGGAAGCACTGTGAATTTGCGTACCCTTTCTTAACCGTGTACATACCAGTGAGTTAAATAAATGAGTGATTATCACGTCAATCATGAAGACCACTGACCGAACCACGATGACAGACGACTCGGATGTGGGCGGCAAACCAACTACCGCACCACTTAAAAACATTTCCGATAAGTGTAGGAGGTACTGGTCGTAGGCGTGTGGCCACGTAGCCGATGCATTAAACAAGTACGAATCTGCTACTTCTATCTGTTGTCGTCTCTAAAGATGATGAGAGAGGGAGAGAGAGAGGAATTCGTTTTATTTTGAAATGACAATTTCAAAATTTTCAACAAAAAATTGGCCCCACTCACTATGGCAGTAAATAAGTTAATAGATTATTCCAGAGTCAAAAAGTTTAACACAAAAGGAACGATTATTATGAGGACGGTTCAAATCTTAGCTTCTGTAATTTTATCTCATCACACGTAAGATAGCTTGCCAGGAATGGCAATACAGAAGCTCGAAAAGCCGATGTGCGACAAGATATAATTCGGAAGCCGGGGCGCATCGGGTGGGATGGCTTTGCAGAAATAAGATCAGAATGCAAGGGATGTGCAACATCATCTATAATCAGACCAGCAAATTGCTTGATCGTATTGCGACGTCGTTGTAGGATAGTGTCGACTAAAAAAAAGAAGAAACACCAGCGGCAGATGTGGGCATTCGGAGGACTCGTTTTAAAATTGAAAGATCTTTTTTGAGCAAAGCAGGAAAAATGAGAGGAGAGCAGTATAGGATAAGAGGAAGAATGCAGGCGTCGATGAATCGCCAAACTAAGGGTTGATGATGATGATGCTGATGACGACGACGACGATGATGATGATGATGAGGATGATGATGATGATGATGATGAGGAGGAGGAGGAGGAGGAGGAGGAGGAGGAGAAGGGATCCGAAACGTCAGGCGAATGAAGTCCCTGTTCCAGCAGCCCGAGCCTTCTTCTTTCTCTGGTGTTCCTCGTAATCTGTCTCTTCTTTCCCACCTCATCACTACTACCACTCTAGGTTGTGTCCATCTACACGCTTCTCGTGTTTCTGAGTGCGCTGTCCAGGTTATGTCTTAGCATTGAATAGGCATGAGGGATATCACTTCATTTTACGATGTACTTTGAGTCCAATAACCTTAGATCAAGACTTAAGGCTGAAAGAAACATACCCATGCACGACGCACCAGGCCATGCCGACTACGAGATGTACGTTTGAATGTGTACGCTATATCATCGGACTAGGGTTATTTCTTTGCTTACGCATGCGGTCCGGCAAGATGGGATTACGTAGCCCAACCTGATGCACACAATACTGCTAGGATTAGGGTAAGAGTTTAGGGTTAGAGATCAGGGTTAGGGGTTAGGATTGGGGTTACTGTTAGGGGTTATGGTAACTATTTCTCAACCACTCAAAGTACACCCGCGCATTCCCAATAGCTTTTCTTTTGCATACAATTACTTGACCTCGTCGTCTGTGCGTTCCCCAGCCCCACTCGTAAAAACCCCTATTACCACCGGTCCCGTATTAGAGGTGACTGGGGTCTGCTTACTTCAGGTGCAGCTACATAACCACATCTGACCTGCGGTCCTACCGATGGCCCGTCGAACATTCGTGTTTTTGGTAGCGGTAGAGTGTAGTACCCACAAATATACGGCAACTACAAAAACGTAACCTAGAATTCAGTCTGACTGTAAACATCACTTATTATTCACCTTTCCCATTGTTTGAAATCTCCTTCTATTCCTAGCTAAATGTAGACTTGCCAGCGGCACTTTATTCAAAGTCTGTTATTTTTAAAAAGTTGCTCCTTGCGTATTTTTTAATCGTCGCGCTCAATTTCTTCGCCAAATGACAGCGTACGATAAGACCTTCGGCAGAAATTTATCCATTTTCTATGTTCTCTTGCTCTCCGTCCTAAAACCCTCTCTACCACCATTCAACGCATGACACGATCCACCGGCTAACTCAAGTTAGTTGGGGGTCCTACACCCTATCGATTTCGCAAACTGATATGCTTCGCGTTCAGTTTTCCCAAAGGAGGGTTTCAGAGTGCCACTGAAGTGATGTGTGCTCAACGTATCCGAATTGAAAACATCACCCACAGCCTCCACATCACCCTCCCCCCTCCCCCTTTGTCCCAGTGGCCATAACATGCCGACCTCGCCGTGCGGGTTGTGTTGGAACGATAAGTTTTAATAATCCCCGAGTCACTTATAAACCCTGTGAACTTCCTATATTGTTAATTTATACGCAACTGTTTTGGCCTGATGAAGGGTTACCGAAAACACGTGTTTCCCAAATTGACTTCTCAATTGTAACATGGTAATATTTGCAGAAATTGCTTTTTGTTTTATTGTTCAGTTATCGCGCTCACTTTCTTTGCCAAATGACAGCGCACGATAAGACCTTTTGTAGAAATTTATCTATTTTCTATGTCTTCTTGCTTTCCGTCCTGTGTATTGCCTCACCCGTAAAGCCCTCCTATACCACCATCCAATATATAAAACGGTCCACAGGCTAGCTCAAATTAGTTGGGAGTCCTACATCCTATCGTTGCCGTGGTTTTCTCCACTAGGGGGCTCCCGTTCAGGAAATAGCCAATTTACGACAACCCCTGCCAGAGGCCAGAATGTTCTAGAGCCGTTGGTAGTCCAGTAAATAGGGCGAGTTGCCCATTGTGTTAATCAGGCTGGGAAAATAAAGAACTTGTTCCCGGAACCCCTCGCCCATCTCCCTCATCCGCCTCTCGGAGCGTACTTGCTCCTCACTGCTGATGCATGTTTGTCCATCTGCCTCCTAAGGCGGTTGCTTTGCTCTCAAATGATGGATCTTCCATTCGCTCTGAACACCCGCACAACGTACTTTTTTCAATAGCGTCAGTTTAACCTCCTACTAATATTCACCCCCGATACTCTTCGCTTACAAGTCGTTTCGCAACCGCCATTAAAACAATTTCGCCCTCTCTTGCTGGTAACATCGGGATCTACTAAAGTTCCGCCAGTAAATGAACACAAGCGTGCCCTAGAATGGCAGGGTAAATAAGTTACTAGAAGATAATTGCCTACTCGACCCTGAGACTATGATCGCACAATGTAATGACCGTAGTTTTGTGGCGAGGTACCAGACTAATCTACCTTTGACAATCCAGTCGCGTTTTCTTTTACTGAATCGCTCGTTTTAACGTGACGAAAACAACTCGGCTGGACAAATCCCGCTTCGTCGGCGTGCTTCGTTGTCTTGCTCTGCTGTAAGGTCATCTTACGCTCTGAATATCAATATTATTCACTATCCGGTTTTACTTACTGCTCGTGAGATGTTATTCGTTGATCCGTGAGAACATTATTATTTACATCAGTTTAACCACTAAGACTTCCGGTCTAGCCTGCCTCAGCAGAATGTAGGGGACACCAGTTGGAGAGTTCTACTGCCCGAAGATCCGTCCACCTGGACCGAGGGGGGGGGGGGAGGGGGGAGAATGCAGGTGTCCGGGTGAGTCAGAGCAATTGTTCACTTCAACCGCGGTCGGACGGTCATGCGTAGATGTCTGGGTGAGGAAGATGCTCGGGGGTATCTGCAGTTGAGGGTCTGGATACCGGACCTCATAAGTCACGTGATGTTGGGAACTGAAGGCACACAACCCAGTTAGAGCGTGATTCACCGAACAAAACAACAAAACTTTTTGCCCCCACTATGATTCAGCGCCTCAACCACTCGCTTGACGGCTGCTTGCGCCTTTCTAGGAGAGACGTGCACAAACAGGAATCGGTTGGCTGTAAATTCTGCCCCGACCGGTGGAAGTCGTGTGAGGCAACCAACCTGAAATCCGCCAAATTACTTCTAAGATCACTTTTAGTAGGCGTTTATTGGCAGATTTGAATGATTTTGACTGACTCGCCAGTTACGGCAAACATGATGGTCTCGGCGAACTTCGAACTCGCCTAATAGTCGGAGTTGTTAGATTCAATATCGTTGAAATGGCGTCCGCTGATCAGGTTATGCGACATGCCTATTCTGTTGTGCCTTGTGGTTCAGTCCAGAGTTCTCGTAGACGGCCGAGCGGCGACTAATAACATATGCAGAGAAGGGCGTATCGGCAGAGACAAGGGAGAGTGGGGTGGCCATTTCTAGTTTGTTAGACATCGTCAGCCGACCATACCCAACCCCAAGTCTGGATGAGCTGGGATTCGAACCCGGATTTCTTGGTCATTGAGTCCTAAGTTACAATCCTCTGTCATTTCGTAAGGGGCCCCTTCTGCATCAGTGTTGGTTGCTGTGCCGTCGCCTGTGAGGGTTGTAGATTTAGCTCCAATGCGCAATGTGGTGAGAATGTCCCGTATTCTGATCGATAAGCAACTCTCACACATTGGCGTCGTGCCCGTCTACTAGCTGGAATTGTTGGATTTCATATGATACAGTGGTCAATGTGGGTAATTTCAGCCTATTCGTAAGGTTACGCAAGGATCTACGTAGATCGCGGACTCCTAGCTCGGGTGGGTGAACGTTTGGCTGTGCTGCGACCCTACACGCGTCCGACTTGCGTCGGGGGCGTGGCATTTTTTACAACTTGGCAATCTACAAGAATCCGACGATATCTATGAGCCAACGCTGTTAACCCCTTCCGCCTCTCCCCTCCCCCACTCCGCTCATGTGTCACCTGCCAGAGCTGACCTTAACAAGCCCTCAGGTCGACTCCACCGGCCATTCGAATGAACTGCAATCGGTGAACGGGCGTTTCCCCTGTCCACAATACAGGTTATTTCCTCAGTATTATCACCCCTCCTCATGCCCAGAACTTTTACCCTTCTTGTGGGGTACTAACTTAAGTTAACGCCCGAAATGTAAGTTACGCTGGAATGCCACGGAACGCATCGTGGTAAGAAGCGGCGCGAGACGACGCCTTGATTTAGGACACAGTATCCTAGACAACCTACTTAGCCTGGCCTTCATCTTCCATTCTGGACAGAAGACCATGACATTTTATGCTTCCTGATGGCTGTGTTTGGATGAAACACAAAGACTTCTCTCAGCTACCGTCTCTCTTCAATCTCCTTGGTAAAATACCTCATAAACCGATGGTTTTTCGATCTGTGGCATACAATGGCGATGCCAGATGAATCCGTGGATACGGGTCCCTAGTTCAACGCATAAAGGAATTGAAAAGCTTGCTTTTGAAACGGTTCATTACTGACTGTGTTCTTTGAAACCAGACCGCCACCTTTACTTCTTCCCAAAGATATTAATCCATGTGCCACACATAT